CATATATATTAAAGCAAAGCTTAAAATTACTACTTAGTATGGCAGACCCTCCTCTTCTTAGTTCTGGGTATTCAACATGTCATCCTGTTATTCTTGATAGGCAGCCCGGTCGGCAGGTGTGTTTGGTCTGTCAGCATGTGTTCTGGGAAAATGTGCATTCCACACACTGTGCTTTCATCTTGGGAGAGAGAAACCCTACAGTACATAATGATGAGCGATGTTTGCTTGTTTGTTGGTGTGCGCACACATGCATCTGTGTGTGTGGTTGGTACTGCAACACACAGGCTCCTGTTTATATGATAATGCTGCCTTGTACATAAAAACACAAAGATTATTTGTAACCATTACTGGCCTTGGTCATTCCTGAAGCATTCTAAAGATCTACCTTTGTTTTTTTTCTCTGTCAGGGCTCAGTGGATAGCGACTGTTTGGCAGGCTGGAGACCTCAGGTCTCATCCCCGCCTGCAGATGAAGGTTTTAGACAGCCAAAAGTTAGAGTCTGGGGATTTATAGAGATGGATGGAGTGAAAGGAGCTGAGAGCTCTTAGCACACGTTCTGGTCAAAGAAGCTGCGTTTCATTCTTAGACTGTAAAACCCTGACGAACATCAAAGCTGGATAGCTCTGTCACTATCAGTAAGTGCAGTGCTATGGGACTCAGTATAATATATAATATAAAGGACTAGAAGTCTTATATTTTTTGTGTTTGGTGCATTTTTTAAACAATACAATTTTAAAAGATTTTCTTTAACAAACGTGGTTCAGTTTTATTTTATATTTTAACAGCTGTCCTCATCTGTGATATACTTTGAAAAAACAACAACCAAAAGAAAAAAGACATGAAAAAGCGCACACAGACACACTTGTGTAGATGAAAAGCCATTTGTAAAGATAACGAGGGACACACTGGGTGATACAGACTGATAATGCTGCATGCCAAAGGCAGAGTGCTGTCTTTACTGTCAGTGACGTGACTTTCTCATGCAAGGATGTTTTAAGCTGAAACAACAGGGTACACGTCACAAGAGTGAGACATTATGCAGCATAGCAACAGTGTGCTGGGAGCGAGTTACCTCGCTGTCTAAGCTGATTTGACACAGTCAGGTGAAGCAAGTTCTAAGTTTTCTGGGGAAGACTTTTTCTTGGCTATACAACAGTTGTAGCAAACCATCTTGCTCTTAAGCCATAAGGTGGACTCTAGTAAAAAAAAACAAAAACAAAAACAAACTATTTTCTCAAAGGGGAAAAGGGTGATGACAAACAGTTTCCTTAGATAAGGATCTGGACACAGAGACAGGACACACTGTCACAAAATAGTAAGTTACTCTATCTTTATGAGACAGTGATGAGCTGTGCTGTTGGTCTACGACATTGGTCCAGATTAAATTATTCCTACAAACAATGAATGGATTAGACATATGTACGGAGGAGGATTAGGGCCACTGAAAAAAAAACGTGGGCACGTCTTTTTTTTTTCTTCTTTTCCAGAATTCTGAGAAAAAAGTCAGAATTCTGACTTTTTCAACAGAATATTTTTTCTCAGAATTCTGGCTTTAATTTCAGAATTCTGATTTTTTTTTCATCAGAATAATTTTTTCTTAGATTTCTGAGATTAATTTCATCAGAATTACATTTTCTCAGATTTCTGACATTTTTCTCAAAATTCTGGAAAAGAAGAAGAAGAAAAAAAAGACGTGCCCACGTTTTTTCCCCAGTGGCCCTAATCCTCTTCCGTACATATGATTACACCCTGACTTTTATTTTTATATTTATTTGCAATTTGTGTAGTGGAATTCTTTGAGGTCAAGCAAGACAAGCACTGATCGTTCCAGTGAAATCTAAAAATAAATGTCAATTTAAACCCAAGTGAAGCAATCTCTCCTTGTACACATCAATTAGCATTCTGTCCCATAATCTTCTTGCATTGCCTGTTTGAGCCTTCCTTTAAATTACTGCCATCTTGTCGCCATAGCCGGCTTTTGTCTGTGGAAGCAGGCTTGATTCTGCTTGGCTTCAATTTCCATGAAATCTTTAGTGGGTCTTGTTTTCATGGACACAACTGTGCCCCTTAAAAGTTGGGTGAGCTGGGCAAGCTGAGAGGCCAGCAGTTTTTTATGGTTCATTGTGCAAGCATACTGTGGATAAACCTGTGGTTGGACAAGGAACAGATGAGAGACTACCATGTGGTGGCCACATGGTTGCCACCACATGCTATTGTATTTGTACATAGATACAGTCCTGCTAAAAATATTTCTAAATATTTTAATAATTCTTGCATTGAATAACTCAAAGTCAAGATTTGGATGATTTGCAGTTCAAAGTAACCCTTATTTATCTTATACTAGGTCTTGAGGAAGCACTTTAATTCAGCTTCTGTCTGAAACAAGCTATTTTAGCCTCTTTCACCCTTCCTTAACCTGTTAGCAGTCGGACGTACCGCCCACGGTACATTGGATGGTTTAGGGGACTAATTGTAAATTTGTAGGACTGCTAAGGGGTTAAGTTAATATTCTCCTGATTGGTTGCCCCCTGCAAACAGAAGATCTTCCGCGCTCACAGCCAGAGCTGTGTGTCTGAGATAACCACATTAGGGCTATCAGCCCTCAATAATGTCAAAGACAGCCAAGAGGAGAAATAACAGATAGAAATTGAGTGGTTTCGAGCAGTCTGAGTCTGAGCTTTTGCCTCACTGGAATTACTTGTACATAGACTGATTTCTTTTTTTTTTTTTTTTTTTACCATTTTAGTGGTTCACAGTATATACAACAGGGAAAACACAATTAACCTAAAGCTACCACTTATTGCATTTCTCATTCATTCACATAAAATATACCATATTACCTCAGATTCTGTCCTTCACTTGACATCAGCTACCAAAGGTAGCCGACTTGTTATAATTTCCTTCCTGTAATTAATTGTACCCTGTTAAAGATACTGGATTATGCTGTTTATACAAACTCAACCTCTTGCATTTCTCATAAATTAAAACCTTCAAGTTTTTTTTGTGGATACAAACCCTGCTTAATGCGACTTTTAGATGAAACATTGACCATATTTGTTGTGGAAAACAACAAACACGGTAAATGTTTTAAATGGCTGTTTTATTATTTGAACAATTGTTAAAGAGGTGGATTTGAGGCAGAAAAGAGATAACAGTTGATCACATTATTACTTGCACCTGGTTAATGTATGTAAACACATCATTTTAGCAGCAGGGGCTAATAACTTTAGAGACGAGGCACTACTGAACAGCCCTTCAGTTGTGGTTTTATGTAAAAGTTTTAACAAATATTTAATGGTTTTCCAGAAATTGGATACAGATAATTAAGCCCACAAGAGGATTAATCTCTCCACTGCCTCCATGACTTTTCATCATTATGGTTCAGAGTGTATGGAAGTATTGGATGAATTGCTTAAGGTCTGCATATTCCCCACAGGCTTTCATCTGGCCAAAATACCATTTTCAATTTAGCCTGACTGAATACATGCAAAAATGACACTGACATCAACTGCGGCTGGACTTTTGTGTTGAATGCAGATTTGGTGTGCTAGCATGAGCCGTGTTAAATTGCCCTTGGATAACAAGTTAAAATGATAATAAAGGCTTTTAACTCATGGTGCTGTCTCACAGAGATCTCATTCTCTTATCGCATGAAATACAATGATTAAGTCTCCTTACGCCTTACTTACAAGTAAACTAAGCTATAGTAGGTTTCATGTAGCGCTGCACTGCAAACAAGTTACACACATCTTGAGATGTTTTGATGATTTATATTCAAACCAATTCACAAACCTTATCAGAGGAGGGCTACAAGGTGGTGTACAGTACACCTGGTGCTGGGAGTGTAGTGTCAAGATGGGCATCTGGTGTGAAATGTTTGTCAAATATCTCTAAGAATGAAATGTCCACACTGGATCAGCTGGAGCTGGGCTACTTTTGAAAGGTTCATGGATGCAGTAAAAGAAGATATGCGGAGCACTGACAGAAGAGATGCAAGGGACAGGGCAGATGATCCGCTGTGGCCACCTCTAAAGTGAGCAACCAAAAGAAGATTAAACAAAGATTTAAACAAAGACACCACATAAACTGTGCACAAAAGGGTTAGATATTGCTGGAAAAGCACACTTCTTTTTAGGGGTCTGAATAGTATGGGACCAGTTTCACTGCAAACACGGATCATTTTGATCCTAGTTCACTAAATTGTTTAGAGTAAGAATACCACGGTATAAGGATTTATTTACACTGTATTTTTAATACAGTGCCTCATGAATGAAATGGAGCTCATTTTGCTTCACTATTGTATCGCTTCTTGTCTCACGTTTGACTACCGCAGCGCACAAGTGACAGAGGGAACTCTGAAATGCTGCCAGGGCATGGAGATGAACGTTTTCTGCCTCTGCACATGGTCTGATCTGTCTTGCTTCAGTCCCTCTTACATCATTGCACGTGCCCTGGGGCTTTCTCTCTACAGAGCAGGCGTTCTGTATTTAGAGCCTGATTTATACACAAACACACATACCACTAGGGAAAGCGCAATGAGTGCCCCCCGCATCCCCCATCCCTGCTGCCACAATTGCCAGCAATATAATCATCTTCCCACACTTCACTGTGCGTTTAAGGATAGCATAAAAAAAGAAAGGGAAAAAAACAACAACCTATGAAAGCAAATAGTAATTTCAAATTCGTAGGTGGATGGAAAAGCACATTTGGCTGGTTTAACATTTTCTTGACCCATTCAATTTAAAGAATTTTTTGTTTGTTTATTCATTTCTTGCATTTTTTTTTAAACTTCCAACTCTCCATTTAAATCTTCTTTCTTTTACTCCCTCCCCGCATGGCTGGTAAGACTTGCTGTGGAACTCAATCGATACCCTGCAGACTCTGTGAACGCCAAAGAAGAATCCATCTGGTAAATGCACAACGGGAAGAAAAACGAAAAATAACTCTTATTTCTGCTTTTTTTTTTCCCTCTCCCCCCCTCTGTCTGTCTTTGTTCTCAGGTTGTTAGAGAGCTCGTTGCTCAACGCAGAAGTGAAGGAAGGAGAGATTCTGCCTCCTACCATCCAGAGGCTGATGAAAGGATACAACAAGTACCTCAGGCCTTTCTTTGACAGTAAGGGAACTGCAGACACAGGCAGCCATGGAAATGACAGAACACCCAGGGGAAATCTGCGTTTGACAGAGAACGAGATGGGTTCATAATGCAATTTTGTGCTTGCGTGTCCCATCTCAGATAATATATGCTGACATACATACATTAAAATTTACGCCAGTTTAATTTAGCTTTGAAATTGGTGTGCTCCATTACTTTCTGCGTACAGGCATGGAGGTTTAACCATGTTATGAAGCCCTGAACGCGCATACACAAGACTTACTTTAACACATACAATACATGGTCTTATTTAGATTCCAGTTTCCACCAGGTGACCAATTTGTTTGCAATAGAGGAACAAAGTCTGCCACAATGTGTGCTTTCAGAAGAAGAACAATGTTATGTCATTCCCCGCAAATCCCTCGCTACAGTTATTGTTCTGAGCTCCAGGAATCCATCACAATGTGATTATGGTTTGTTTACTCGCTGTTTGATCTGTAATAACACCTTGGACTTTACCAAGGCGAATGCTATTCAGCGTAATCACCAGTCCTCGAAGCACAAGCTTGGCACACGGTAATGGTAAAAGCGCTAGCAAAGAGACATATTCACACACCCACACGCGCATATGCCTTTGCATTTCAGGCACTGCTGGAACCTCCATTAATTTTATGCATTCTTTTCCATTTGCATTTTCTTTGCCACAAAAACAGTTAAATTTGGTTAAACTTTGCAATGATTCACTTCTCATCTGGGCCAGATAACCTCAAGCACAGCCAGCAGGTCTGCACAATGCCGTCTGAGCGCTCATTTTTGGCGTTTGAAGTGGATTGCCTCCTTACTCAAAAACTAATAATCATCATTTCTAGCACATAAACACCCTTAAAGGAATAACTGAGCATTTTGAATAATCACTTTCTTGCCTGGATTTAAAGGAGAGCCACACTCTCACACTCTGTTCCTTTAATACTAAACTCCACAAGAAACACTTTTATACAGTAGATTTACATGCATCTCATTGGCACATACAGTATCTGCAGTATGACACCAGACTCATTTGTGTGTCTCTGAGGAAAAAAAATGACTGATAAGTAAAAGGGAAGGAGAATAGAAAGATGAAACACGGGAGAGCAGCAAAGTTACCCTGTCTTTGATGGTGAATCAGGAAGAATTAATTCCCTCAAGGAGGTTCACACTCGACAGACTGCAGCTGGTGGATAGAAGTGGGGGTCTTTAGCATTTTTAAATATGCTGTCCTCCAATAACCTTACATTATATAACACAATGTTTTATTATGCAACACTATATATATGCCTGTGTCCTCAAAATACCCTTTTATGTCATCACACTCAGACACAATCTAGAAAAAGGTCAGAGAGAGAAATTTTTTAGCCCCACTTTTGCGTTCCACAACAGTTCAATATAAAGCAGAGAGGGTGTGACACGTTACTTATTTTTGAAGGCAGCTCTCAAGCAGTAGCAAGCTGCCGGTTCTGAGCGCAGCTGCTCCCGCCTTGCCTGGCTATGACGGATGAAGCTGTGGTCGATTATTTAGTTATCGTTTCAAGTTCAGCTGCTGTTGTCGTATGATAGCTACTGCTTGAAGTTAGGGTGCTTCCAAGACAGATGTGCTGCTAGTACAGCATAAAAATTAAGGAATACAGACCATTTTAATACAATTCTTAGTCAGCACCAATACACACACAATAACTTACAATTGCAGAAAAAAAGTTCATGATTTTATATATTTATCTATAATCCTAATCAGTTAAATGGTTTCAAGGGAAAAAAAAGCTATCCAAAACATATGCGCATATGTATACAGGGAGTGCAGAATTATTAGGCAAGTTGTATTTTTGAGGAATAATTTTATTATTGAACAACAACCATGTTCTCAATGAACCCAAAAA